ATGGTAGCCAGGACGAATCCAATATGCAAGGCCAATTTGAGATGGTAAGAGCCAAGAAGATATATATATATATATATATTATTATTTTTTTTTGGAATGGTTGTTCCTTTTTGCATAGGGATCTATTTTCTTTTACTTGTGGTTGCATACCAAACTCTACAAGAATCTTGCTTCTTTTTTTTTCATATAATCATATATATTCCTTTACAACCTCTTTTTCTTTTTCTTTTTTTCTTTTTATCATGATAATTAGAATGTCTTGCATAGGACAAAATTGCTTATGTATAGGTTAATTTTGATTTAAAAAATGACAAAAAGATTATACCTACTTTTTTTTATATTATATTCTTTTTATACATAATAGGATAAATTCTATTTTAATATCATACTTTCAATAATTATTATAATACGTTTCGAATGATGTCTATTTATATAATTCTTCATTTTACAATATTTTTTAAAGAAAATAATTTGCATTCTTCATTTAACAAACAAGATATTTAAGGAAATAATTCTTTTAATAGAATTTATGACTGAAAATTATTCAATAATTATTGATTGTTATATTTGGAAAAGAAATTAAAATTGTTATATTTTTTGTAATTATTGTATTAATTTATGCTATTTGTTCAATGTTCTATTTGCATAAATTAACTCTCTTCCATCATTTAGTCCAATTAACTCTATTCTTACGATGAATAATAAAATTAATTATAAATGTGAAAATTTGATAAGTGTTTTTGAAAATATGAAAAATAAAACACATAAAATTGTGTGTAAACTAACTTAATTTTTAAAAATATTAAGCTATTATTTGAACCTAATTGTTGATCCACGGTTGAGGTTTAATTTTCATGATAAAACTAATATTATATTTAATGATAACAAAAATTAGTTAGCTCTCGATACAGATAATATAATAATTATCAATATTAACTCGATGATAACAAAATTAGTTAGTCAATAATTTATAATTAATTAATAGAAAAATGAATGTTAATTAATAATTTGCTATTATTAGAGATTTACTCCATTTGAAAAAATATTAGCCATATTTACACTTATTTTAATTTTTGACTTTCTTAAATTAATTTCTTGAATGACGAAATCAATCAAATAAATAGGTCATGCCAAAATATATATATATATATATATATATGTTTGATCAAGAATCTGATCAAACCTTCAAGCTTCGGTTCGGAAAGGATGAGCTAAGCAATGAACTCCATATGAGGCACAGAGAACCTGCAAAACAGAGTATAAACTCCGATACCAAAATCAGCAAATGCACAAATCAATTCGAGAGAGAATTGTTTGGATTGCGTACCTTGAAATGAGGAAAGTTGGCCCTATTTATAGGCAATTTCTCCGACAATTGCCCCGACAGTACCTCAACGGCTCCTTAAGGTTGTCGTGAGTCACGGCGTACTGTCGATGACTCTATCGGAGCCTGGGGCTGAGTCGAGGTAAAGTTAATAAAATGGTCGAAGCAACAACGGAGTGTTTGACTATTTAGATCGGCTCGGCCACCCAAGACGTCGGCTCGGACAAGCATATACACGTGTCCGAGGTAATAAAACTTGAGGTCTATCGTTCGCCACATGTGTTATTTACCTGAGACTTAGTTATCATAGGCTACGTGTAAGGGTGAAAATCCCCCTCCAACAATATATATAAATAATAGAGTGAATGAATAATTTAGAACTCTAGATGTGAAATTTTAAATCAACTAAAAATTTTAGTTGAGTGGTGTTAATATCAAAAAAAATTCTTTTTGTTTTTTTTTATGTCGAATATGTAGAAGAATTTATATTTAGTTAAATTCATAGACAAGTTATTATGAAATTTCTTAGACTTATTTTTTTAAAATGATTGAATAATTCAAAGATGTTATAAAAGGAGCATTTGAAAGTCAAAAAAAAGAATGGAAATTGATATATGATTGAGAGACCAAGACTATAGTCTTACCAAATTATAAAATAGGAAATGAAAAGTTAGTTGATTAATATACTTACAAAAATAAAATATTATATGAAATTGAAATTTTTTGTCTTTGTTAGGGGCATAAGTGTCAATAGCCACAAGGGCTAAGCCAATTGTCTCCATCCCCTTGGCCTATAAGAAAACTGCTCTAGAAATTTCTCTCTTCTTCCCCCTTGTGGAGGTAACAAAATTTTGTGGTCAATTTCAAATCCCTTCTTAAAATGGAATCACCAAAAAAATTAATTACTAATAAAAATAGTAAATACTTTTAGAAATTTATTATTTAAACTTGTAAACAATATTAAAACTATTTTTTCATAAAAAGACATACACAATTTAAATATATTAATAAATACGAAAAAAAAATCTAGAACTGATTATTAGTGAAGATTCTCAATCTTCAATCTTTATTCTCTAAATTAAGAGATTGAAAATTTTAGTTCACAAGTGGAGAAAATTTTCATGAAGTCATAGATAGAAATGAATTCCGACCTCACCTTTCCATTATCATCTTCTACCTTTCACGTGTTAGGAAAAACCTCACTTTCTCGCGATAGTTTACAAAAATTAAACAAGCCCAACAATCTAAAATCTAATATTAGGTTATGAACATTTTTTTAATTAGTGTAGGTTCAACAAATAGGTTAAAATAATTTGGTAAGGTTGGATTCATGATTGCTTTAGAATAACATCAGCCGCACCAAATTTAGGTCAAATTTATTGATTTAGAAATATACATTTTTAATTCCTAGAATTTTAGAACATTTTCATTAGTTTCCTCACACTTGTGGTTTTCTTTTGGTCGGATTGTTAATTATTTTAAGTTCAGAAATATATACCAATTAACTCAATAATTGAGGTGGAGATTTGAACTCGCAATCTTTTGGTTAGAAATAGATATCAATTACCATTGAGCTAAGGTTAGTTTAGCCTCTATAATCTTGTTGGTTTATGTTTCTTCAACAAAATCATTTGCAGTCCAGACTTAATAAGTGGGAACAGGTCATAGTGCTTGGTCAGCATCTCACACGTAGGAATACTTGCTCAAGGGAGCAGGCACACTTCCGATGCTCAAGTCTACTTCAAGTATTGGCTTAGATGAGAGGTCAAACAAAAATACTATACTTATTACTGAAGTTTGGTCCCTTATTTGTAGATTTGTAAATACTCTCGGGGAATGATTGAGAGCATGTACCCTCGCTAGCAAGTTCAGAGAGCTTCCAACCACAACTTCCTTTCGGGTTGCTTCTTTCTGCTTGTCTTTCTCTGACCTTTAGAGCCCCAACTATCTCTTTCCTCCATGTGGCATGATTATCATCTCTTCTCCAACAATTTATAATGTTCTTCCAAAGAGAATTTCTTGCCTCCTTCTCGAGCATTTTTCCTTTCAATCAAACAACATATTTAACAAAATATTTGCTATAGGACTGACTTTGTTTCCCTAGAACAAACTCTCGAATTCTAAAAAAAAGATTCAAAATTAATTTTGAAAATTATTGTTATGATAGTGGTACTAGTAAAACTTTGATTGGACAAATTAAAACAATTGATGAAGTTTCTTAATCAATTTTATGCAATTTTCCCACATGAAAAAGGCTAAAGAATTTGGTATATATCAACTACTTTGAATGCTAATCATTTAGTAAACAAATGTAATAAAGCTTAAAAGGGAAAGTGTAAACATGCTTAATTGTCCTCAATCAAGATGATTTTTTTTAGGTGGATGCTACTGTATAAATGATTAAACCCAAAATGTGATATTAATATTTCAAAATTGCGAAATGAACCAAAATATCAAATTTATAATTTAGCTCTTCATAGACTAAATATATGTTTAAGTTCTTAATGTTTCGGTGTTTTAAATTGGCCCACAGTAAACTTATATGACATAATACTTGGTGAGTTGACGAAATTTAGAGGAAGAATTAGATCTTTAAAAGAAGTAAAATAATTTTTTTTTCTTTTGCCAATTTCTAAGAAATTTGGAGGAAAAATTCAAACTTTCATTTCTCAGATGACTTATTTTGTGAGAAATTTTAATAGGTGACACTTCACGATATAATTTTTAAAATTTTCGCATGCTCATTTAGATATTTTACATAATGTCCTTTTATCCCCGTACATCACTCATTTGTTTTATCCATCCACCTGTGAGACACTATATCACTTGTATGACTAACATAATCGATCACTGATACACATTATCACTAATATAGTTTATCGTTAATAAACATCTATTAATCAGTGATCATTGAGGGACATTTCAAGACTCTTTTAATTTTTTTTATTGGATTTAGGCTAGTATATATATATTTTTTTCAATATTTACGAATCTAAAATGTCTATATATTTGTAATTAATTGAACTTGTTTTGTAATATACAAAAGCGTCACTTAATTGGTCAAAACATTAAACACTAAACGACCCATATCATATAATATTTAAAAAGCTAGAAAGAAACATCACACTAGTG